TTTTTAAAATTTAAAACTTTTACTATGCTGTTTGAAGGGAGAATTGAAATTATCAAAAGTGATAATGGAGGGGAGTTTATCTCAGACGAATTTGAGAGCTTCTGTAACCAGACTGAGATTCTCCATACGTTCTCTGCCCCACACACTCCTCAACATAATGGAGTGGTGGAGTGCAAGAATCGTACTCTCATTGAATGCGCTCGCACCATGTTACTTGAATATGGGTTACCCAAACATTTCTGGGATGAGGCTGTAAGCACTGCGTGCTACGTGGGGAATCGTGTTTTAGTTCGAAAATATTTGGAAAAAAAATTCCTATGAGTTATTTAAAAATAAACAGCCCAGTATTTCTTATTTCACCCATTTGGTTGTCGTTGTTTTGTGCTAAACACTAAGGAGAATCTCGGCAAATTCGACGCTAAGTCAGATGAAGCCATTTTTCTAGGATACTCTGTGAAAGGACAAGCTTACCGTGTATTCAATAAGAAGTCTAAGAGAGTTGAGGAATCGGTTCATGTTCGCTTTGATGACACTAACCCTTCTCTCGAGCTCGGAGAAGATGTTGCTGCCCCTTTTGATTTTGCATAAATGTTGTCTCCTTTAAGTTCTACTCACGAGAGTACCTCAGACATGCTGTTCGCACCGAATCCACCTATCTCAAACACATCCAGACCTACTGCTTTGCCAGAACCGCATTCCCGGGACACGCCAGTCATTCCCAAAGCTCCAGCACATATACAAAAACGTCACCCTGAAAGTCATATCATAGGAAACCTGTTTGATGGTCTTCGTACTCAAGGTAAGTATATTCCTGGTCAATTTGCCTATATCGCTTAGTTTGAACCTAAAAATTACAAAGAGACATTGAATGATGAGGAATGGGGGTTATCTATGCTAGAAGAACTTGCTTAGTTTGAGCATCTAATGGTCTGGGACTTGGTTCCCCGCCCACCAAACGTGACTGTTATAGGAACAAAGTGGATCTATAAAAACAAGTCAAATGAAGATGGGGATATCATTTAAAATAAATCTCGTCTAGTTTCCCAAGGATACTGTCAAGATGAGGGCATTGACTTTGACGAAATTTTTGCCCCTGTCGCTAGACTTGAATCCATTCGCTTGCTGTGTGCTTTTGCATGTTTCTTTAACTTCCCTTTATTTCAAATGGATGTCAAAAGTGCTTTTTTAAACGGTGTGATTTCTCAAGATGTGTATGTTGCTCAACCACCGGGATTCATTGACTATAGATATCCTGATCATGTCTATAAGTTAAATAACGCTCTCTATGGTCTTAAACAAGCCCCTCGGGCATGGTTTGAGCGTCTTACAACTTCTCTTAAAAAATATAACTTCAGTCAGGGTACTATTGACAAAACGTTATTCATTCAACATACTCAGAACGACATTCTGCTTGTTCAAATATATGTTGATGATATCGTTTTTGGATCCACTAATATTGCCTTATGCACTGCATTCTGTGAGTCTATGACATCTATCTTTGAGATGAGCATGATGGGTGAACTTAAGTTCTTCCTTGGATTACAGATTAAACAATCTGCTCATGGCATATTCATAAACCAATCCAAGTATATCCATTCCATGCTTTCCAAATTTGACATGACTTCTTTAAATTCCAGCCCCACTCCTATGGCTGCAAATTTAAAGTTAGATCGAGACGAGAATGGAATTACTATTGATGAATAGAAGTATCGAGGGATGATTGGATCTTTATTGTATTTAACTGCCAGCATACCTGATATTCAGTACAGTGTCTGTATCTATGCTTGGTTCCAATTCAACCCAAAGAAAGTCATGTGTCTGCTGTTAAACGGATTTTTCGCTATTTAAAGGGCACTATAGATGTCGGTCTCTGGTATCCTAAACAAGAAACCTTCGATTTGGTTGGTTATAGCGATACTGACTTTGCCGGCAGTCTAACTGACCGGTAAAGCACAACAGGTACGTGTCAACTGGTTGGTACTTGTCTTGTTTCTTGGTTTGCAAAAAACAGGGGGTTGTTGCCCTCTCTACAGTAGAGGCAAAATATATAGCTGTTGGGAGTTGTAGCACTCAATTAATTTGGCTAAAAAGCAAGCTTGCTGACTATGGTTTAGATATGTCTTGCATCCCATTATTCTGTGACAATACTAGTACTATATGCATGATGAAAAATCTGGTGCAACATTCTCGCACAAAGCATATCAAAATTAAATACCACTTCATTCGTGATCTTGTTTCATCTCACATCCTTGCTTTGCAGCATATACCGATTGAATTTCAGCTGGCTGGCCTTTTTACTACGCCTCTACCCTTAGATCGATTTACTTTTCTATGCTATGAGCTTGGTTTAAGGTCTCTACAGGCATTGATGACTACCTTTGATTTGTGTCATTTAATTGCTTTGCTTTCCTGTTTTATAGTTAGATTATTTACTCTTATTTGTTTCTGTGATTGATTCTTAGAGTTATTGATCTTTATTTTCTTACCTTGTATGTTGGTGTTCCTCTTCTTAGCGGGCTCCCGCTTCCCTATTTAAGTTGAGCTTCTTATTTCCTCTTCGCTTCACTTTTGAGAGTTTTTTTTCTTGTTCTTTTTTTGTCTTAGCTATGGAGCCCTCTTTGTCTATAAAGTTTTCTGGTACTCTGTTTTTCGAACCTGCTCTTGCCAACTACCACCGCCACCGTCAATTTTTTGAGCTTGCCCCCTCTATCATTGCTCCGTTTGAAGAGTTCCCTGATTTTGCTCTAGATATCAATGATTTCATCCAAAATCGGGGATGGGGATTCTTACTTGATCAGCTTTCATCCATTTTTTGCCCTATTCGTGTCCGATTTTTTTACTCAAACCTTCGCTCCGATGGCCTGCATTCCAGAGTTTTTTTCCACCATGTTCCATGGCCATCTCCTTACCATCCCTGTTTTCGACCTTGGTCGTTTGTTGGATATCCCAGCTATTGGTAGGACCTTGGCTCGTGAATCTGAGTTGTGGAGAGTTAATTTTAATATTGCCGAGGAGTTTGTGCGCCTCACGGGTGTCCATCCTGGTCCTGCCCTATCCCTTCTTGTTAATGTCCTGCTGCCCCGTCTTTGTGCTTTTCATTTCGTCCTCACCATGGTCTTTCTTCCCCATTTTCAGTCTCTTGACGGAGTTACCCCTTTAGACCTCTGGATTATGCGTCATGTTGTTATCCATGTCCTCAACTATGCTCACTTGGTTTTTGGCTCCATGCTCTCCTTTGGTGATGTCCACTTCCCTATCCCACTGCCATTTGGACCCCTCATCACTCGGTTGTTCTCTCGTCTAGAAATTGACCTATCCTCTTTTCGCACCATCTCTCCTACTCAATATGTGTCTATCGACCAAATGCTGGACGACATGGAGATTGCGATTGAGGGAGAAGTTTTTCCTGCTGCTATTGCTGTAATTGAAGACGATGAGGTGGAGGTAGAACCTAAAGAAGTGGAACCAGAGAAAGAGGATAACTCGGCTTCTGAAGATTCGTTTCCTGCAGATCTTGTGGTGCTTTATGAGACTGATGAAGAAGATCTTGGCTCCAACAATGAAGATCGTTTTAGACGTATTCTGTTTCTCTTGCGAAGTGTTTTTCAGCTTGGCTCTTGTTTTAATATGTTTACCCTATGTGTTTATTGGGTTGGAACTTGCTGTTTTGGTCTGATTATGTTCGAACTTTGCTCTGGGATGTTTGAACTTTGCTAGAATTGGTTTGGACTTCATGATTCATGATTTTTAGCTGCATTATTTGTCTCGAGGTATATTTCTCCTATTGTGCTTGTAGTTTTCGTGTGTTGTCTTTTGCAGGAAAAAAATCAATCGTCAATCTCTTCTTTAGGGGAAGATTGTTGAACAAAATAAGAGTAGATGATTGATCCTCCTTTGGTAAGTTTTCAAGATTCATTCGTCTAAGGAAGGTCATCTCAGAAGAAGCAATTCTGGCGGAAAATCAGCAACGGCTAGCTTGGTCTTCTCAACGGATACTTTGCTCTGCCTATATATTCAGTGTAACTCGAGTGTAAAAGTAAGGTTTGTAACGGAGAAAAAGAGAGCGGTAGAGGGCTGGTCTTTTAGTTACAAGGTCATCAACAGTTCAGGGGAAGAGGTTCTTAGTTGTTGAGGGTTTCTACAGATCGGAATGTGATATGGGCTGGTGGTTGTTCGGTTTTACAGATTCGTTACTCTGTTTCCTTTTCTTTTGCTTGATAGGAAAAATCTTAATAAAAAAAAGTCTCTCAGAAAATAGCAAGTGCTATTTTCGAGACGAGGAGTGACAGTAGTTAGGGAACCTCGTTAAATCGTGTGTTGCCTTTCTTTTTACTGCTCTTACGGTTCTTGTTATGTGTTCCATGTTCTTCGACTCTGTTTTTGCCTCTGCTCTGTTTTTGCTTCGACAGGTCAAGGTCGAAGACAAGCAGTGTGTTGTTGGTCTTGTTACATTTTTCGGTTGGGCTTTGTAGCTCAAGCCCTCGTTCCTTCTTATTTTCATTTACTTTTATTTCGCTTTGGGCTTTGCCTTTTTGAGCCCATTTACAAGTCTCTTTGGACGAGAAACAGAAGCCTTCTTCTTCTTCTTTTTTTCCTTCTTTCTTTTCTGTATCGTACTTGGTCAAAATCCCTAAAATTCTTCTGTGTCTTTACATAACACGTAACACGAACTCCCTGGAATACTTCGGTTATTTGGGTAGATAGACCCTCTATGATCTTGATTAATCAGCTTCTGTTGGACGATGCAACAACATTTTTTTATTAATACAACTAACCGCAGGTTTCATAAAATAAAATAGAAACAAGTATATGTAAGTATTCTGTGATGATTTAAGACAATAAATTACAGAATACTTACATATATACAAATATATAATGTATGTAAGTTATTTCCTTATGTATCACATAAACAAATGTATAATGTATGCCATTCGTAAAGATTAAGACAATAAATTACTTAGTTTCCACTAAATCATCAAATACGTCAAATACATTTTTATCTATAATTAATTTCTTACCGCAGGAAAAAAAATCTAATTTATTAATAAGTTGAGCCACAATTAGATAAAACTCGACTTCACTCTAGTTTACAACCCCACTAAGCTCCAAGAAAAAGACCGCTGGCAACAACTACAAGGAAGCCTAAAAACTGGCCGTGGAAGCAAACCAGCAACTGGAAAGTCAAAAAGGGTTTCAGCTTTCTTCCTTCTATGCCTGCAAGCTCAACGCACGTACTAACACCTCTCTGTCCACAATTTGCTTTCCAGATTCACCGAGTCAAATTTTCCAGAATTATCCCAAACGGACAGTTGGAGGGGAGATTTCACGATAATAATGGCCTGCCACTGCCAGTGACTTGTCATAATAACAACAATGGCGGGTGAAAAACCAGTAACAACCCATCCTTTTATACAGAAGCAATAAAGGAAAAGCAGCAATCACCATGTCCTTATCCTTCCTAGTAGTAATTGACATATTTCCACTTAATCATTAAATTCCTCTGTTCATTCACTTCGAGGACCTCAAACGAGGCATGCATTTCCCTTTGATGCCTCCTCCTCCTCCCCTGTTCTTCACTTGCGCCCCTGCTTCAGCAGCTGCATCTTCCACATGAGCTGCTGCTGCTTCCTTCAAGCTGCTCCTGCAGAAAGAATGGAACTGTAACTAACCTATATAATCAATCTTTGTGAAGTTAAGCGTAATGACATGTAAGAAACACTATGACCAATTAATACCGTTGTTCCCCGTAGGAATTGGATCTCTTAATGGTGTCAATTCCAGGAGGAGCAGAATGATCAACGGATTCGACAATGCTGCCGCTGAAGAACTCCTTTTCTTGAGACTGAGGGTTGCCGAACCTGGGATTCTCCGACATGTACTTTATCATCATCATCGCCTCTTCTTCTCCTTCTCCTTCTCCTTCCTTCCCTGCACCATTACCAGTACTGCCCATCCTTCTGCTGCTAACATTGCCGGCGCCACAGTCGTCACTACTGCCAACGACCTCTCTTTTAATGACGGGTGGTGGCAGCGGCAGTTTCTTGATTGTAGCCGCAACGTTGGTCTTGAGCTTAGGAGGAGGTGGGGCGGTGAAGCTGCCGCAGGAAATGAGTTGAAGCAGAACCGAATTGCGAACTGCTGGTCTGGTTGCTGATGATGACGACTCCTTGATTGATCCCGGGTCGGAGTCCGACCCACCATCACTTTGTTCTCCTCCTGGAAATCGCTTCACTAAAATCAATGGGGTTTTCTGGGTATGAGTAGGAACCAGTTGGTTCCCCTGCTTCGCCGCCTGCTGCTGTTCTTCTTCTGGTTCGTCTGTGGAGACGCCTCTGGAGCAGCGGGAACGTGGTGTTGTGGAGCTTGTTGTGCTGTAACTTGCTTTCTCCTCCTCGTCGAGTTCCTCTGGCGATTCTTCCTCTTCCTCTGGTTCTGGTTCTGGTTCGAGTTCCCGGCTGCAGGGGCGAGTTCTTGGAGGCAGAGGAGCTGTAAACTCCAATGGCTGCTGCTGCTGTGGCCTCTGTTTTGTTTTGGCAAGAGGTATATAATTAGTGGTTCTGGGCTGATGATTATGAACCAACACATCTCTACTCGACGACACATCATGAATCTGCTGCTGCTGCTGCGGCGGCGGCGGCAGCCTTTCAGCAAATCCAGCAACAGGTTGAGGGAGAATCTCGGAACCCTTGAGAACGTACTCGGCGGCAGCTCCATCGGCGGGATAAATCGCGTCGTTCTCCCCCAAATCGTTCCATACGTAACCGTTCTTATATGTCCTGTACACATCATTCATTCAACACATACGCCATTGACAAAAAAATCCAGTCAACATCACAGGTTTTTTGCCAAGAACACAAGAGTGGGATGGGGTTGCAGACCTTTTGCAGGACCATGAATACAGAGAAGGCATCCCTCTCCCCCTGAGAGCGGTCAGCCGATCCACAAAATCTGCTCCATATACCCACCATTTCCACCAAAAGATATTTTACTCACCAAGTTCAAACCTTTTTTCTGCCAGTAGTTTATAACATTTAAACTAGTTTTACCTTTGAGGCGAAGGAGGTGATTGGGGGAGTGGGTGAGTTCCATGAAGTGAGGATGCTCCAGTTGGCCGTTCCTGGTAAGATAGTAAACAACTTGAACCCTTTTCATGGCCACGCAAGGTTTCCTCTTCTCCGTGCTGTCTCTCTGCTCTCCTCCTCGCCCCGCCGTCGATCTTCTTCCTCTCGCCGCACCACCCACTTCCATCTCGTGATTTTCTCACTCACAAATCAAAAACCCACCTTCAAAATCTCGATGCATTCATAGGGAGGAAACATTTCCTTTTTCCCCTGCCCCTCTGGCTTTTTTATATTTTGACTAATGAATTCATGATGGTAGCTAGCTAGTGGACAAATTTACAGCAGCAGCTGCAGAAGGGTGAAAATGAAAGGGAAGAGAGAGTTGAGATAGCATGAAAAGGCGCGCGGGAAGGGAGACGAAGCTATATACACCAAACTGATCACATAATACTCTGTTTTCCCGGCTTAGGATGCTTCGATTTGAACAAAATAGACACCCCAGAGCGAGAGCGAGAGAGAGAGACAAAAAGGAGAATGTTTACAGGGAAAGGTCGCAGTCAGTGAACACTGTGTGCTGTGCTATAATTTGCTATAGCTTCTTGGTCTGAAATTTCAATTTGACTTGGTTTTCCTTTTGGGTTAGTTGCGTTTGCTTTCGCTTTTGCCATCTGCCTATGTTTGAAAGCCTTTTTCTTCTGATATGGAACAGAAGAACGTCGCCATCAGATGTATGGATATGTCTGTGTGGACTAGCTTGTCAACGCCAACTTGCTGGGTCTCTGTCCCAATATCACTGTGCTGACTTATGATTTAATGGTGCCGAGTAAATATACATATATATATAGTTCTACACATATATGGGAATGCTTGGGGTGTGGGGTTGCGGGTTGTTGCATGAACAAGTTTTACTTAAACTGTGATTCATCTGGTTGCCCCATTTACTGTACTTGTCAGGTGGCACGGCCATGGCGTCGAGTTGTGAGGCTGTGACATATCAGCAAGGGATTGGCGCTGAAGTTGGGTCGGACTCGGATCAATGGATTATGGGTAAATGACACATTTGGTCACTTAGATTACTAAATCGTGTCATATTTAGTCACTAGAAAAATTTAATATCAATTTTGGTCACTTGAATTACTGACACAGGTCACATTTGGTCACTCTTCTGTAGCCTCTGTCCAACTCTGGTCACTCGAATTATTGAAAAATGTCACATTTAGTCACTCGTATTACTGAAACATGTCACATTTAGTCACTCTCCCAAAAGTTTCCGTCCAACTACATTAATGGAGTTGGACGGAAACTGACGGGAGAGTGACTAAATTTGACCAGTTTCGGTAATTCGAGTGACCAAAATTGATATTAATTTTTTCTAGTGACTAAACATGACACAATTTAATAATCTCAGTGACCAAATGTGTCATTTACCCTACATGGGACTAAACATGACACAATTTAATAATCTCAGTTTCGGTAATTATGGGTAACTGGTATTGTATGAATTTTTCTATTATTTTGATTTCAAACGGCTTAGTGGATTTTAGTGTTGCTGTTATGTGCAAGTATTCTATTAAGTTGGTTTGAGGGCACTTGAGAGGCCTCATCGACCTAATGTAAATTGGTATGTAATTTGTCTAGAAAGGTCAGGCAAAATCCAGAAACAAGTGGATTGTGATGTATTGTACATGATAAGATTCAAACTCGTGATAAGCTGCCACGGTGGGGATATTCTGGATCTTGTTTCGGAATTTTACAACTTGTTGGGGTAGTAGAGAGGAGCCCATGAAAGTCAAGAGCCTATTGGGCCTTGTTGGGATAGTAGAGAGGAGCCCATGAAAGTTAGGAGCCTGTTGGGCTTGAAGCCCATCTATGGCCTATGGGGGTATGACCTAGGTGGCTATAAAGGAATAGAGGCGCATGACGACAAAATAGGCTCGCAGACAAGGAAGTACAGGTGGACAAGGTCGGAAGGGCGCCACGAGGCCAGTGGTCCCCCTATGCGCCCCGATGTGGAAAACGGACAGTGTGCCACGTGTAGGCGCGTAGGCGCCAGGGGAGACCAGGCATTTAATGCTAGGCTGACGTAAGGCTTGGTGGCAGGAGTTGGTCGGAGCTTGGTCGAGGAGCCCGAGTAGTATAAATAGCACTTGGTAGGTAGCATTTAAGCAGGTCGGTCTTTCTCACACTAAACTTCTTTCTTCACTTCTCTCTCTAGAATTGCTCCTGACTTGATCGTTGGAGTGCTAACGGACGGGTCTAGCCCACCAGGCGCCCGTCCTGCAGGGTCCAAGCGCTCGGCGTGAAGCAGTGGTGGAGCCACGTGGGAGAGAGAGTATTGTGGCATCAACAATTGGCGCGCCAGGAAGGGGGCGTTCGGCAAGTTAAGGCAGATGGAAGACTTGAATGTTGGTAGTGTAGGCGCAGAGGATGCGGGAACGGAGAATTCCAGTCATGAGGGGAGCGAGCAGCGGGCAAGCCCGGTAGTGAGCATGGACGTAGAGGACGAAAGTCGTGAGCGCCCATCTATGAAGAGTGATTCGTTGTCAAAGAGGGAGCTGTTCAAGATTATTGCTGACCAAGACCGAGCAATAGCAATGCTTCGGAGGGAATTGGAGGGAGGAAGGAGCGCTGATACAAGGGAATACAGCCCCCCGGTGAGGAAGCGGGATAGGCTCATAGATGATTCGGAGGTTAGCGAGTATGGGCGCCCGGGCTATGAGGGCCACAATCCTGAGGTAACGCCACCTAGGCGCCCTGGTGTGTGGAGGGCGCCAGGCGAGTGGACCATCCCGGCGCCGGAAGAGCAGAACCCATGGACGCCCAAGCGTCAGGCCAGGCGCTTTGGGATCAGACAACCCTTAGCGCAAAGTGTGTTAATGGAACCAGCGGGAACCACACTCCCGCCGCTGACCAGCTATGATGGAGTCACTGACCCAGAAGATCATCTGAATAGCTATTTCACAAAGATGCAATTGTACAATAGCACGGATGCCACGTTGTGTAAGGTGTTTCCTTCGACGTTCGCAGGGGTAGTCTTAGATTGGTATCATCAGTTGGAGGAGGGGCGCATCGAATGCTTTGAGCAATTTGCAGAGCTATTCTTGTCCAAGTTTGCTAGCCGTAAGCGGCGGACGTTGACTATAGGCGCATTGTTTAAAATCAAGCAGAGAGAGGGTGAGGCGCTTAGAGAGTTCTATAACCGCTGGATTTCGGTCGCCATGGCCGTGAAGGACGTGCAACCGCCAGTCCTGGGAGTGTGTCTGGAGGAGTGTACGAATAGTGACGAGTTGTGTCGGGTGCTGTCTAAGAGGGCTGTGGTGTCAACTGAAGATCTGGATCGAAGGGTTTAGAAAGTTATTGCCTTGGAGGAAACGTTGGCCGCGAGGAGGGCAGAGAAGAGGCGCGTTGGTAGGGAAGAAGTTGAGGTGCGCCAGGCGCCTAGGCCATTCGTTATGAACAACGCGCCGCAAAGGAGGATTGAGAGTCAGCGCCCGCCACCCAGGAGTGCGGGAAATTGCACGGAATATAACGACTCTCTGAAAAACATTCTGCAATACGTGAAGGACCGGGGATACCATGTGCGTTGGCCGAGACCTATGCGTGGGCAACCAAACGAACGGAACCTTGATCGGTATTGTGACTTTCATCGGGATAAAGGGCATCATACGGCCGATTGCTACCAACTGAAGTCGGAGTTGCAGACGTTGGCCGACCGAGGAATGCTCAACAACTTCATAAGAAAGACGGAAGAGAGGGCTCACCGCGCGTATGTCGCAAGAGAGACGAGGCCAGCACCTGCTGTGGTAATTGAACCAAAAGCGCCTACCCTTCCCCTTATGCAACAGGCGCCTGGTAACCTCCCTGCGCTTGAGACCCTCCCTCCTCCACTTGAAATACCCCCGCCTCCGTTCGAGTTGAATCAAGAAGGGGAACCCAATCGGGTTAGACTCACGGTGGAATCCATAACCGGAACCGTCGATTTGCGGGACAAGTTGGACAGGTCTAGGCGCCTCCGAGCTGCATCTGTGGAAGCGAAGGCGGCCGTGCAAATATGCTTTAATCAAGAGGCGGATGAAGCGTGTCAAGTACCCTCAGAGGAAGCTTTGGAGATACAGGGAATCATTGCAGGGTGTAAGGTCAAGAGGATGTTGGTGGATACGGGAAGTTCGATGGATGTTTTGTTCAAAAGCACGTTCGAGCGCATGCAGCTGGCGCCGGAATTGGTAAGCCCCTCTGATTCGGTGCTGATAGGGTTTTCGGGGGCGCCTGCCCATGTGATCGGGCGCGTGCGCCTCCCGGTAACATTGGGCGACGAAGTGCATCGAGTGACACATGCCGTGGAGTTTGGGATAGTGGATTGCCCCTCGCCGTACAACGTCATACTGGGAAGACCCCTGTTGGCGTTATTCAATGGGGTAGCCTCGACTTGCCACCAAACGTTGAAGTTCGTCGCCCCACAGGGCATAGGAATTTCAAGGGGAGAAGGCGCCCCCCGCTATGCGCGAGAAGAGGAAGGAGGAAAAAAGGGCGCGCGGAGGCACCGAGTGAACAACATAGACATTCGGCCGGAGGAGGCGCCTAGAGCAGAGCCAATGGATGATGAGTTCAGGGTATCGATCTAAGAAGGGCGCCCGGACAGGCAGGTACGAGTGTCAGCACAGGCTCCTGAGCACATGAGGGCGCCCTTGATCGAATTGTTGCGAGAATTCGGGGAGCTATTCGCTTGGAGCCCCCAGGACATGCCGGGAGTATCACCAGATGTGGCGGCGCATCGATTGGCCGTCGAGGAAGGAAAGAAGCCTGTCCAGCAAAAGCGAAGGAATTTGACTCAAGAGAAGGAAGAAGCCCTAAGGAAGGAAGTCGATAAATTGCTTGAGGCTGGGTTCGTTGAAGAGGCCAGATACATCACGTGGCTATCGAACGTGGTGTTCGTACCAAAGTCGTCGGGGGATTGGAGGATGTGTGTGGATTTCACAAACCTTAACCGGGCGTGCCCGACAGACGCCTACCCAATGCCTCGCATTGATATACTTGTGGACGCCACGACCTACCATGAGGCGCTCAGCTTCCTTGATATGTTTTCGGGGTATCATCAAATTCCCATGGTGGAGGAGGATAGAGCAAAGACCGCTTTTATGACACCCTTTGGTAACTTCTGCTATAGAGTGATGGCATTTAGATTGAAGAATGCGGGCGCCACGTATCAACGCATGGTGAATCAAATCTTTCGGAAGCAGTTGGGAAGGAACGTGGAGGCATACGTCGACGATTTGATCGTGAAAAGTAAGAGGCGCCAGGACCACATTTTGGACTTGCGTGAAACGTTTGAGACTATGCGCTCATACAACCTGCGACTCAACCCACAGAAATGTGTGTTCCTTGCGGAAGCCGGCAAGTTCTTGGGATTCATGATCACGAAGAGAGGAATTGAAGCCAACCCCAAACAAGTTGAAGCAATTATGAGGTTGACACCTCCCCGAACACCGAAGGAGGTGCAGGGGTTGACGAGAAGGTTGGCAGCGCTTGGGCGCTTCATTCCAAGG